TTAAAGAACTTTTAATGTGCAAGAGTTACTTCTATGGTTTGTTTTCAACCTAGTCCTTCATTATATGTCCAAAGTCATTATCTTTGTAGATGATACACGGAGCTGTGTGCCTGTCAGTGCAGAGCTTTGGACTCATCTAAAATCAGGGTGGTTATGCTCTGTGGTCTTCATGTACCTGAGTTGACATTGATTTCCAGTCCTTCACAGGCATAAGTGCATTCATAGAAACAACACTTAGGACCTTTCCTCATGACCTGGCTTATGCTGCAGACATTTTTGGTTTACTTTTCTTATGGTTTCTGATCAGAAATTCTTTCCAGAGTATATTTTCCTAGAGGAAATACTTTGAGCACTGTGAGAAACTGGAGGGAGGCTATTTGCTGATTGAATAGACTAGGAGAGAAGCATCAGTTATTTTTAGACTATAATCTGTTCAGCAAATGTCACACAGCTGTGATTCAAGTACCAGTGCAAGGTCGTGACAAATATGCTAGTTAGCTGTTTATGTAAGGTCCTCAAGCTGTAATTGCTGTGTGTCTGCCTTGGGAATCTGGCTAGCACTTCGTTATCATAGGTGGCATCTAAGATAAGCCTCGGTGACAGCAGCTGACTAAGATTTCTTCTGAAGTCTCCTTCCTCCCACGACTGTCTCATCTTTTGGTGGTAAACACAGTATGGTGCAGTTCCTCTGTTTTTTGATGTAGTGCAAGAGTGTTGGGATGGCTCTTCATACTGCTTCCCCAGTTCTCTCTGGTTTCTTTGGACTGTTGGCTCACAGATGTTTCCACTTCTCCTGTCACATATAACACTTCTGCAAAGAGCTTTCACCACAGTGGTGTGGATTCAGTAAATTCACTACACAGGAGTTTTGTAGAGGCAGATGAGAATGGTGCTGATGTGGAGCATCAGATCTGAATCTTGCCCCAGACATCATCTCAGGGTTTTTTGTTGATGGATTTGTCACAAAAATAGACAGCTTTATAAAATTGATTTGGTTTTGGTTTGTTTGGTTTGGGGTTTCTCTATGCAAAGGAAGTGTTTTATGATTTATTTTGTAACACGTGGAGAAGCAGAACCATGTCTCATATTTTGAAAGATGCTTTTTAAAATGGTGTTAAATTTTATACCTCCCTATTCTCCTAAGAATGCCCAAGGTTAAAGCTGGTGTATCATTTCTTGTACATAATATTGTTCTTTCTTTGTTATTTTATCAGCTATTATTCAGGCTCCCCAGAGACATGGTCATAGCACCAAGCCTGTCAGAGTTCAAGGAGTTTGGGATGATGATCATAGTCAGACAGTTTAGTTTTAGGTGGCCTTGCAAGGAGCAGGGATTTGGACTCAATGATCCTTATGGGTCCTTTCCAGCTTGAGATACTCAGTGGTTCTAGAATCTTACTGAAAAAGCAAGCCTTTTTAATGCAGTGCTAAATTACAGTACATTAAAAACAAAGAAAATATCCTATAACGTGGGAACAAGGATTAATGTGTTAAGCTTTTAATTTTTACATAGTGTCTACCCATGCAATTGCAATCTGCTGTCTGGAGCAACTGAATTCAAATTCAGTAATAGACCACAAACAGGAAATACACGTGTGTGTTTATAAGGCTTACTTTGCTTAAGAGTATAACAACTATTTGAGTGGGTTTCCCCCTCTTCCCCTTGTTCCTCTACATTGCTCATTAATGTCTGAACTGATAAGCTATTTGTCTTTTGTTGGAACTCCTAAATGTTACTATTCTCTACAGCTGAGTATCTTTTCTTACGTATTTCTATATAATGAATGTTAATCTGGAGAAAATAAATGCACTTTGGTGTTGGTTGTGCCATATAGGGTTTACATGGGCTATAGTAGCTGATTGGGATGAAGCTCATTTGGTTTTGCCTTCTAAAGAAATTATTTGGAACTTTATGGAAAAAACAATCGGACAACATGGCACAAGCTCACATTTTATTTGTTCTAGATGGGCTGTAAGATGATCTGGGTATCAAGAGTCTTTTGTTTGATAAGGGTAGATTTAGATGTTAGGAAGTTCTTGCCTGTGAGGGTGCTGAGGCTCTGGTGCCCAGAGAAGCTGTGGCTGCCCCATCCCTGGCAGTGTTCAAGGCCAGGTTGGACACAGGCTTGGAGCAAGCTGCTCTAGTGGAAGGGGTCCCTGCCTGTGGGACTGGATGAGCTTTAAGGTCCCTTCCAACCCGGACCGGTCTGGGATTCTGTGATTCTACGAATTGAAATCACATCATCCTGTTTAAATGTTGCTGGTTTTAACACACAGCTAGCCTCACTTGTGTTTGCTTTGATAGAATTTGATATTTACAGTTTCGAGTCATTTGTTGTAGTCTCTCTTGTGTTTGCTCCTTCCCTTCTTACTCTCCAAACTGTAACCTAGAGCTCTCTCCCTCCCCTCCAGTGCAAACCAGCTGGGGTGGGGGGGAGCAGGGAAAGCTCCAGATCTCTGTGACTTGAGTTTCCAGCTGAGCGTGCCAGAGGTAGGGTTGTGCTTCTGCTCCTTTTGCTTCTGTCATACTGCAGTGATCCTTTGTACCGAGCCGTCAGAGGGCAAGAAAAGGTAAAGAAAGAAAGATGCTGTTCTTTTGTGTAAAAATGGAGCTGCTTTAATGAAACACTTTTTGAAACAGAAACATTCATCTCAGACTGATTATACAAAATGCTGTAAGGCCTTTTGAACTCAGTGCGAGTCGAGTGCTATGTACAGCCTTTCCCTCAGTAATTAGTTCCCTTTATTTCACTACATTCCCACTTCTTACGTTCTCTGTCATGAAAACAAAACAGCTTTTTCAACATAACTGTTGGACAACTTAATGAAAACTTAACTGGAATATTGAGCAAAAGCCAGCAATATTCAGGGTGCTGGTTTTCCAACTGTTCACCTGTGCAGTCTCCCTTCTCTTACCATAAGTCATGTGAGTCATTTTCAAATGAAAATCCAAAGTTGTCCCAGGCTGTATTTCTGCTCTCGCCTTTCATATGGCACGGACACAGTTTCAAGAAGTGAAAATAAAATGCTGTAAAAATAATCCACTGTTGGTAATACATCAATGCCACTACAGTAAAAATCTTGCTAGGGAAATAACATGCTGGGAATGCTGTGTTGTAGGTAATCCTTTTCATAGGCTTTACCACTGCTGAATCTCAGGGAAGGTAAAACCTCATTCTGAGACGGGTTTCTGTAAAGCTTTTAGTGCTGTGTTTACTGATATGAGAAAAAAAAAACAACATCTTTGTACCATCCATTGCAGGAAATTTGGCTAGATGTATGCCCAGACAGAAATCAAAGTGGACGGTTATTACTTTTGACGCATCTCATATGGGATATTTTATGGCAGGTCAAATATAAAATGTTTTTATGGCATACAATTCATAATACAGTTTGTTCATAAATATCAAAGAAAACACGTATTTTTACAAGGAACATGAAGAAGGCAATTCTCAGTCGGATTAGTTGTGTTTAAGTTCTGATCACTATAAAACTGAAACAGAAACAGAACTATGTTGAGTTAAAAAGCAGGAAATATCTGTTTGCTGCACAGTGCTATTCAGAAAACACCATTGCATCAAAATGGATTTGGAAACAAATGCTCCACTGTACATGTGCTGAATAGTAATTAGCCATGCTCTTGATTCAGCCTTTGTATGGTTATTAAACTCTTGCAGGCTTGTCTAGGAGTGCTTTTGGTTTGACATGAGGAAATACAGCCTCATTTTTAAGTCTTCCTGTAAATTAGTAATATAAATGCTCAGCACTGACAGTAAATAGCACTGTCAGTATAGGAGCTGCAAGATCAACTCTTTTTGGGAAGAAATGCAGCCTTTGTATTTCATTTATGTAAGCAGCCATGGTAAGTCTGTGGTCCAAATTAGTGCTGGGTAATTTTTGGTTTGCCTTTAGCAAAGCAGAAAATGAGCTGGGCTTTACTTTTGGCAGGACAGATAGATAGTGTTTTAATTTGGGATTGTAAATTAAAAGAGCAAAAGTGATTTCCAGTAAATAAAAAAGAGAAATATTGACTATTATGGGGTATATATTCCTCAAGGGAATAACGGCATGCCTTCCCATTGACACTGCTCCGTTTGTGCTTCATTGGAGTTGTGTAAGTTTAGCCACCAAAAGAGTAAGAATATTTATTCTCACAAGAGCATTTGAAACCTGTCCTTTAAATAGGGATTCATGCAAGTGTCAAAATAAACATTAGAAACATGAACAGAATATGTCACCAAAATCATTCATACAGTTGGTTTTTAACAAGTGTACACTGTATATCCAATACAGCATAACTCAGGGTGTGAACATGCTGCATTTGATGTCCTGACTACTACTTCATCAAATTTAAGTGCATAGGCCCCTCTAATTCCATTCAAGATGTGCATATCTTCTTTGCAAGTTGAAGTCCCAGGGATTTTATAAGGACCCTAAAGCAAACAGAGTAAGGGACTATTTGGAAAAGCGGACCCTTGAACCAATAGGCAGTAACAGCTCTGATACCTGGTGAGCCCATGGGCTGGAAATGTCACACTGGTTAGCAGGAATTAGCACAGTGTTTAAATAGACCTGATCTAACCAAAGGAGAACAGAACTGCCTAAATTTCCACCTGTTGTTCTGAAGTTGCCTATGAGGAATACATGAGAGTTGTTTCTAGCCAAAACTGGGATGAAGTAAAAGAAACCTAATTGGAGAGAGTAGAATACATCAGAAATGGCAGCTATTGCAGATTCATACCCTGTGTGATGGGTCTCATCCAGTTTATGGAATGAGCAGTTGTATAATTGTCTGAACTTTGGCATTTACTGACAGAATTCCATGAGTTTTACCACTGTGAACTGAATTACTTTTGTAACTTAAGTATGTGTGGGATTAGCTATGAACTACACTAATCGATTCATAAAAGTTAAGACGCTAAAAAGCAAAGTACACTGTAACACTTCTCTAGTTCATGAGTTACTGAATGCTGTATGACAGAGTATGATGGGTATTCGTGAATCATTAATGTAAATTTAATCTATTTGATATGATCGAATAGTTGAGAGCTTAAAAGGAATCACTTGCAGTGTAAGTTATTCAGTATCTATTGCATATGTTTTTTACATGAGTTTCTAAAGCCAAGGCTTTTAACAGTGCTGAAATACAATGATCTAGTCACATATTTAGAGAGGCATTATCAGGTGCTGCAGCTGCTGTGATGCCCCACATGGTTTCTGTAAATATGTGCAGTTTTAGCCTGTTGTTACTTGTGGAGGTTCCATGAAATGCTGAAGCATTAGAACATGTGGCTTTTCTTTCACCAAAATATACCTAGTCCATAGAAATATTGAATTGGGTAAGAGGATTTTGATTATCAAAGCTGTTTCTTAACTTAGTTATCCATGAAATTGTAGATAAAGAAAGCTATGACTTAAGTAATGTACAAAATACAGAGCATAGATTGTTTGAATCAGGAAACTGTTCAACTTGTTTCAATAGATAAGGAGATAGAGGGATTTTTTTAATCTTTTTTTATAACACATTACATATACACTGTACAATAATTCTTTTGTATCAGAAGGCTTCCATACAGAAAAAATAGTTCTATAAAACATTCTGTAGTTCATCAGCAAGATCTGGAATGAAACATGGGGCTGGAATGAAACTCTGTAAGTTAACAGAAATAGGGGACAAAAAATCTGGCAATTCTTTTGTTCTTGTACATTCATATTGGTAAAAGGGAAACTTGTTGTGCCTTAGAGGACACAGAGGCGCATTCTCAGCTTGAGCCTCTCTGTACAAAGCGTAACTTTACAGAGTAGCTACTTCCAGGAGGTTTGTTCCTCATCTTGCGTGAGTGCCAATTCCACAGACTCGTACTTTAGCTGTACAGGACAATTTGTTTTTGTTTCTAAGCAACAGATACATTAGAGGATGGCAGTTCAAAGCTGTGAGCGTGCAGTGTTTGATAGAATTAGCCTCCGAGGCTTTCTAGAAAGTGATGGGTTTAAGGTTCGCTGATGTCAATAAAGTCTTTCTCTGGGGGAGGACCACCTCGGTACCAGCTGCAAGTGCCATCACTTCTCTTGATGCAGGCATAGTGCTTGGCTTGGTGCCCGTACAGCTTTCTTTCTATCAGCCAGTCTGTCCAGAGGCACTCGTTCGGTGCAGTGATGGAACAGGGCACCATGTAGCAGGTCGTAATCTAGACGTGAAATAGGGCATGAAGTCAGCACATTGCAGGTTTCATTTAAACAATATTTATTCTCATGTAATATGGAATAGTTCATGTACAGAATGGTTCCCAGCAGGGAGAGCTGCTGGTGCCTGTGAGGAGGCTCCACTGTTTGTTAGCCAGTGTTCTGTTTTATACTTACTTTGCAGCCACAGCCCATTTGGTATCTCTGATTAAGACTCTTCTTTTGAGACAAGGATAAGTCATCCCATGGTTCAATGTAGTTGCATAAATGGATGAAGACTTTACCATCATTTAAAATTTGGCCTACAGCATGGAAAATGAGAAAAATCAGGCAAGCAAATAAAACTGTTTTCTGAATACTGAAATCAGCTGCAAGAATATCTTATTAAAAAAGCCCCTATATAAGTTATGTAAAACCTATAGGGTATAGAAATCCTATATAAGTTTTTAACTCCACCAAATTGGTCGTGTTTCACAATTTCTTCAAGGAATGTCATTAGACCTGAGAGAACTATTCTGCTGATGGGGCTAAATAAATGTAACAGATTTAAGAATAGATTTCAGAAGATGCTCATAATCTGCCAGCAAGAGCTGGATGCAAATGCAGCAGGAGGTTAAACTAGCTTTCGGGGCTCCCTGGAAAAATCTGTAATTACTTAGAACCCCAGTCTGCATACGTGTGGGCATGTGTTGTCTCATTAAGCACGTCTGCCACTCCTGGGACAAGCACTGCTGTTGGCTTTAAACAGATAAGGATGCCATGCTTCCTATTTACTAATGGCGTGGTTACTGACCTTCCTTTGAAACTGCTTTAAGCTTATTGAAGGATGGAAACCAGGTCAGATCCCAGTGTAACTACAGCTTTACACAACTGTACATTTCATTGTGCTTGTGTTATTTAGAACATAAATATTTTATCACAAGGGCTGGCATATTCTTGCAGTCAATCAGAGCAGTTACTTCTGGCTCTGTGGGTGCGTTAGTTTTGTTACACTTTACCTGTCAAAAGATACTGTTTTTTGTTGTTAGCTTCTAGTTTCACACCGCAGAGGGACGAATCAAAAGGGGTATAGACATACTGGACATCCTTGACCTTTTCAAATCCTTTAAACATCTGAAAACAATCAGACACGGAAAGTCACTAGTGGAAAACAGGAATAAGCAGTTGCAAACAACAGCTGAAAGAAATACACGGTGCATCCCTTCAAGAAAGGTTCTAACATCTGAACTGATATGAGGACATACCAACAACTGGACCTCTTCTCCACACTAAACGAAATGTGTCCATTATTTTTCATTTTTAGAAGGAAATTAGGTCTTATTTTTTTCAAATTATAGGGGTTTTAACTGTGCTTTTTCAGTGGTTTTGATGGATTTTTGCAGCTTTCTCTTCAATTTATTTTCTACTGGCATCCTCCATTTACAGAGTAATGCAGGGGCAGCATTCATCTCCCAAACCATCCTTTGATTCTGTGATCTTAAGCAAGGTGCTGCAGCATCATTTTCCACAGCCAGAATTTTGCCCAATGCAGCCTTCTCAAATAACTGTTGGCAAACGGGACCCAACTCTTGGCATTCCTAGCCTGCAGTGCTAGGGTGGATGGGTTCAGGATCAAAGCCTGTGCAGTGTTCAGGTCACTGCTCCATAACCAGCATTTCCAACTCTGACAAGAATTCTTATATAAGCCATTAGATCAAAACCAATTTACTCGTGCCCAAAAGCAAGAAAGCACCGTAAGATGCTGATCACCCTCAGCATGGCTGTCATCTCCTAAAACGAGCTCACGGAAACCCCAGCACCAGGGTGACATTGTGCTGTGTGCTGACAGCCGCGGCCGTCGGTCACGGGGCTCTTGGGACAGCCGTGTCACTGGAAAATGAAGTTACTTGAGTCCCCTCAAGGGACGTAAATAGTACAGGGCTCTAGAGAATACACTGTAATGTGTTCATTTTTCTGAAGCCTTATTTATGGAGTAAAAAAAGCCAAAGTTTTGTTGTCATTGGACTTCTTATCCAAAAAGATTAGATGTGAATTTGAAGTACTCTAGTAGGAAAAACAAACACACTGAGCCTGCCGTCTTTGAAACTTGCATCCCCTCCTTCTGCTGCACTTCAGTCTACCTTATTGAGGGTGTGGGTGCTACACACGGGTGTCTAGTACACAGTAACTATGACAGTATTGTCTGATTTGAGTTCTCTCTCCATTAGGAAACTTGGGGTTGGGCTACAGTGTATAGTAGAGTGCGGCTTTTCTTTTGGTATCTCATCACTTCATCTAAATTAACTGAAGAGGCATTATGCAGGTAACACAAACTGATTTAGCTATTAAAGACATATATATATTTATATCTCCATAGCAATGTATAATGGGGATCTAGTTAATATTTAATGAGTTTGGTGTTTGTTTTGTTGGTTTTTTTTTAAATCAAAGACTGAGCTATCTCTGCTTTGAACATAGATGTTTGTTAAAGCATTTCTTAAGATGATAATCTTTTGTTTAACTCATAATCCATATTTGATCTTCTCAGCTCCTGCCTCTTCTTGAATCTCTTCTGGCCAGAAGTGAGAAGTTGCAGGGTGGGACTATTAAAACCCATTTGTCTTTAGACTAAACCTGTATGTAATGATGCAGAGCATCTTTTACTAGAAAACAAATCTCTCTGATTTGTCCAGTCCCAGCTACTTGCCTTCTGAAGCTCAGAAGAATTAAGTAGAGCTCTCGTACTGATGCCTGAGTTTTGAACAGGCCTTCACTTAGACAAATTTGGGGGAAGCTCCAAAGCAGGTCCAGTGTATAGATCTGTATCAGAGATTTTGGCATGCTGTCACTGAAGAATGGGAACACAGACTAGACTTCTCAGTCTTTTTTTTTGTGAAGTACAAGGCTATTTGCATTTCTCTAATGTTACTGAAGTATTGCAGAGTAGCAACAGAAGATTCAAGTGCTAATGGAAGGAAAGAGAATTGCTCTGATATGTATATGCTTACCTCTGTAAAGAAACGTTTCAAAACATCCTCAATACTTTAAGAAGACAAAGTGGCAGATGGTGAAGAGACTGGGGGCTTGTTTCAGCAAGGTAGAAAGAACTGGCTTGTGAAAATTACTATAAAACCTTCTCAGAATCTATGGGTGGTAAGCACCCCTGGGAATATTTTGTGATATTCTTGTTTACCATAGGTTCTTCTTGCTAAACCTCCTGTGAGATGATCAACTGATAACAGTTTGAAGGACTGCTTACTTACTGTTTAAACAGGTAGTATTCATAATGATCTGCTAAGGGGTTGCAGTCAATGTCATTACATCTATATATATATATCTATATATAATGTCATACAAATAACATGAAACAATATTTTATGGAAAACTAGAGATAAAACAGCCTGGGAAGCATAAGAAACAAAGCCCAACCAACGAACAAAATCCCCACCAATGCACATCAACAACTTTTAACTGAAAGACATGACCTGTTTCCTGTGTATTCCCAACGCAGGTAGTTCATGATCTGTTTTACATCAGTGAGAGCCAGCTGGAGCCTTTTCCATCTTAAAGCCTTTAAGGACTAGACTATAGTAATATGCATAGGTTATCAGCATTGAACTTCAAAATAGCTTAGTGATTCCATGTACCTTTATTTGTTTGATTTCATACCGGATCATTTTGTGGGTATCAAGAGGATTATCACTGGCAGGAACCACCTTCTCACTGGATATTTTAGCTCGAATCACTGTAATAAAGAAGAAGATTTAAATGCAAATAAGTGTATGCCTGATTTTACAAGCAAAGGCAAAAAATACATTGATAGGTTTTAGCATTGTTTCACACTTCACCTAGAAGTAGATTTTAAGGCTTGAATCCCATAAAATTTTATAAACCATCATCATTACAGTCAGTGAGCAAGGGAAATGACATGGCTGTTGGTGATGGAAGAACTGTTGATCAGTTGAATAGACTTGAAGCTAACCCTCTGAAAGACCATGCCAGGCAAGACGAAAACATCAATTTTGTGCATGAAATCAGAGGACAAGAAGAGAATCTTCTTTCATTCACTTCTCTGAGACTACAGATTTTTAGCACTTTTCTTAACACATCATTAGTTGTGTTGCCCTGTATAAATCAATTAGCCCCTCATTTCCTATTCTTTAACCAAGGAAAGCATGCGACTTCATGGAAGAGGAAATTATTTCTTTTCCAATCTGATTGTTTGAGGCATCTCTCTTGTGTATGCTGTTTTAACATACACCACGACTATTAGGCACAGAGAATGATAGGATTCTAAGAACATGGTATATGGCAAAATGTTCTCTGGGGACTCCTCTCCCCCCAGAGAATTCAGAGTCCTGGTTTTGCTTGATTCTGGATGCCACTGTTCCAGCTCCTCTGCAGATGCAGTACTTGTTGGAACAGGCTGTATCTGCAGGGAGATAGGAATGCTGGCAGAGACGAGCAACCAACAGTCAAACCTCAGACCCCACTTCAACTCTATGTTGAGTTTGCAGTTGGGCAGAGATGGATCTCTGCTAAGACATCTGCATCTGCAGGGACCAGAAGTATCCTTCAGTAGGAGAGCAGCTCTCAGACTCCTGTTTTATTTTGCTTTTATTTTTTATGACGAAAGGGACCATTTCTGTCAAAATTAGTGTGAATCAGCCATGATGCTTCATAGAGTAAGTTCAGTTAGAAGGAGCCTGTGGTAGTCTGGTCCAGCCTCTTGCCCAGCTCAAATCAGGGCTGTGTCCTAGCTGAGTGCGGACTGTCTGTGAGCATGGTGATTCTGCAGCCTCCCTCAGCCCCTGTGCCAGGGTCTGACCACTCTTACAGTGAAATCCTCATACTTCTCATTCCCTGAAAAATGTCTCAGGCTGATGCAGAGGAAAATCTGGCATCTGGCTTTTCCAACCCCCCCCCCCAAACATTTCTTCAATGTGTTGACCACTAAACACCATACCTAAAGGAACAAGAAACACAGTTTGCGGTTTTCCTTACAGCCAAATAGAGGTCAGTCCCACCCAGTGACGGTCAGTTCTCATTTCCTCACTTATTAGCAGACCAAAGTAGATGTAATAATCAACATGCTGCAGATGCCAACAGCTTCAAAGCTTGAGTCCTCTGTCTTTTGGCATGATGCTTCCTCCTCCCAAGCCATTTAAACTCTTTTAAAGAAGCATTTTAGACTTATGGGTTGGATTGGAAGGAAAGAGTTCTTTCAAGTATGAACAGCAAATTCCTCATTTCAAATGGTGAGTGGCAGCATCTCTTTAATTAACAGTACTTCTTAAATATTTGATCTAATTCAGATAAAAAGTGTTGTGGATTGTGTGTACTGTGCTGCTGCAAAGGTCAGATTAGAATCATGTTGGTTTGTTTTGCAATGCTTTCCTTTGCATCCTGACTGCTCTAAAAAGAGGTCCTCTCATTAAAGAGTTCATTCAGTGTAAAAGGTAAGGGCTGAGACAGCAGCTAGGAGCAAGCTCCATTAGTTTCTTAATACCATAACATGGTTTATACGCAGGAAATCTTTTCCTGCCTACTCAATGCAAACATTTGTGGGATAATTAAAGCTGCTTCCCCCCTTGTGTTTAATATTGAAACATTACTCATTTTCATAGTTTTATTAGATTCCGCATGTTAACATCTGAGAGAAACCTTCCAGATGATCAGTGATAGCTCAAAGGGTCTCCACAGAGTTACGCAAGGCTGAAAGTGTAACGTTGGGGGGGTTGTCATTAAGGGATCTTTTACTGGGTATGCAGAAGAAAAGTAAAACTGTTCTATGTTGTGTGCTTTCACTCATTTGTTTGTGTAAGAGAAAGCTTCCAGATGGGGAAGGAAGACCAAACTGAGATTTCTTTCAAAGAAGGGAAAGTTTTATTGTTACAGGATGCCTACATCTTTAGTTAGTTGGGTTTTACTTCTCTGTTCTCCTGAAACCAGACTCAAATGTGCACGGATCTTTTTGGGCCTTTTAATTCTTGGTTTTCTTTTTCTGTGCTCTAATATTTTTTTGCAATCAGTGTCGTCTCGCTGTCTCCTGAAACCTCTTATTCATGTGGTTGCTTCTGTTTTTAACCACAAGCACTTCCTGATGCAGCATTCCTGGGCCCCACCATCTCCCTCACTCCACTCGTGGTTCAGATGGTGGTTATAGCTTAGAATTCCTCCTCGTCTGCACTTCTTTTCAAGACATAGTTCCAAGTATGCCATGACTTGGCTTCTCCTCTGTTCGACTGAGAACAACCTGTGGTTGTTTATTGTAATAATGTCATTTTATCTTGGACTGTTATTGGTTCCTTATGAGAAATTTGCATGTATGAAATACATCTGCGTGGTCTGCATGTTCTAATGTCAGTCATTCAGTCTGCTGCAGATTTGTTCTGCCTTAAAAATATGTATGGTTTTCCAAAAGACATAGTATTTGACTCCAGGATTCCAGTGGTGGGACGCTGTGTTTCTGCTGAGCTCCTATTTTAACTCACGGTACTTTCCTACAGTGTAAACCTTCCTCCCCACCGTGGAGCTGAAGGTTGTCTCAGGTGACTGAAGTGGAAGGAGGTTGATGTGATGGAAGCCACACAGGGCTTGGGCAGAGCCTCAGAGCCTTACTCACGCTGCAGCTCTTGGCTCCCATGAGCTATGCTGAATCCGTAGTGGCAACTTGCCGCCTCTGAGCAGCAACATCCTTCCAGCAGGCGTCTGTGTTTCAGCTGTAGCCTCCAGGTTACTTCAGGCTCCGTTAGCTATCTAGCTACCTGAGCAGAAATTTAATCTTCACTGCTTTTAAGTGGTCTTTGTCTCAAGAAATCAGGGAATTTTATAAGCCTTATAATCAGCATCATCTTTGCTACAAATGAGACTTCAAAAACTACGTTGACAGGAAGAGAAAGGTGTAAGTTACTAAAAGGTTATGAACAAGGTTGTAATAATGGCTCATGTGGCTATTATTTTTTTCTTACACTTATTGTCTCGCTTTAGCCCTTACATTTAATTACCTAAAACATGAGGAGTGTTTTTTGAGCACTTACTTCTACCTGTCTCTTTAATGCCTGACACTTTGATCAAGGTGTTGCCAGACACTATTGCTCTTGTAGGGAAAAGGAACAAGTGGCACAAGGAGAGGGATCTAAATCAAAGCGTAAGGTCATGTGGTGGATGGGTTGAGGACAGCATCCTTATTATTTATGGGAACAACAGAAGAAAGCAAAAATAGGTGTGCAAAAATAGAAAACCCAAGTGTTTTTCTGAAATTACTATCAGAGTATGCAGGGTGAAATAGAGCTATGGGCACATAATATGTCTCTATGTCATTTTGAAAACCCCTGTATTCAAATGAACTTTTATCTATAAAAATAGGTCCTTTTAGCAGAATGAAAACATTCACATGCACAAGATGCAGCTGTTTCTGCTTAGCCTTCTGCTCAAGGATTACTTAAAACTTCTGCCTGCGTCTCTGTCTATCAGAACTTCTTTGGGTTAAGGGAAATATATGCACAGGAACAAGTGCAGGAGCCCCATCCACAGAGATGTTGAGTTTATTCAGAACCTGATGTTTCAGTTCAAAAATTCTTCTTGTCCAAAAGCCATGTGGATTTTCTGGGGGGAGGAGGGTTTCTTGGGGGGGGGTATTATCAAAAGCTTATATAGACTTTTTCTCAAAAGGGGTTAGCGAAAGGTCTGCTTTCGGGATTTGGCCTCATTGCAGACACTTCTGGGAGATCCAGCACTATTTTCTATAACCAAAGGAAGTAAATACCAGTGCATGCAGAAGTTGCCTCTGTTCCTACACTCGAGCCGTTCTGCTGCTCTGGCCATAGGCTCCTGAAACCATGGTTGGAATGTGACGGAGGCTGTAGTGCATCTCATATGCTCGCTGAAAGTCTTTATGGAAAGAACATCAGGAGAACAGAGCCCAAGTTGTTCGTTCGGAGCTGTAAAGGTGAAGTTTCTAGATCCAGCACAGGAAGTAATTGCACAGTAAAGCAGGAGACAACTGCAGTGAAGCTGGGCTCTGCGGGCCACCCAGGGGTGCTCTGCGAGTGGCCTTTCCCGTGCTGTGGTGACAGGCTTGTGTGACTGCTGGGTGCCCACTTTATCCTTCAGTCTACAATCTCCATCCTTCAGTCTGAAGAGAGGAGAGGGGAAGGACTTCTAAAACAGGTGTCAAACTGTCTGTATGCTCTTTTTGCAGCCCTCACTATGAAATGGGAATCATCTCCCTTCTTAGCTGCATGTCTCACTGGTGCTAATACAGCTTCACGCCATCTGATGAACAGATGCCTGTTTCTAAAAGCATTTAAATTAACTATAAAAGGCTTAATTAATTTTATGTGCTTTGATTTATTTTGCAGTATCATAAGGGAAGCTTCCAGAATTGATCAACTAATCAGTGACATAGTACTGATGACTGTCATTTGAATATTGGGCTAAATTACTTTGCAATAACTAGAGACTGCAGGACAGTGCTGGTAGTGCCACAGGTTACAGTACAGCCAGGACAAAACCCAGTCAAGAGTTGCACTGTCTTCAGAGTGTTCGCCTATAGAATTAAGAATGGGCTTTATTAACACCCTGTCACTGCTCCTCTATCAGTGATCAGTGCAATCCAGGACCATCCCCTCCTTGTAGGATACAAGTGCTAAAACATTTTGTATTCTGTAAAAGAATGGGGGCAAGTTGGCCAAAAGAAGACAAAAGTTACTGATTGATTGACATGAACACAATGTTTTAAAA